CAGAACTGGGTTGGAAGGAAGCTTGCCTAGAATCACAACTAGTGTCCTTAGCCACTACACTGTATTGCTCCTTCCAAAAACATTCCACAGTGCTCCCTGTAGCAGGAAGTCTGCTTTTGTCTGTGAGTATAAAGAAAATTCTTCCTCCATTGGGCCGAATCAGAAAGGCAGGTCAGCAGGAAGGGTGGCCTAGGCATGGTATAACCTGTGACCCACTGTTGCCACCAAGCACCATCTCTCTAATCTGTTGTTTTCTGCTACATTTGCTCCAGGACTGACAGCCAGATAGGGCAATATCCGAGTGCAGAAAGGCACTTTCCATTCCTGCAGCATTTCTGTGAGCAAGGAGCTATCCCAGAAGCCCCCCAGCAGACAGTTTCTTCCTTTCCCACGGGCCAGCACTGGGGCACAGCCCTGTTTCTCAATCAGTCTGCAACAAGTAGAATGGGATGACCATGGTGGCCATAGATGAAAGGCTCAGGACCAAAGAGGCTCCTTGCAAGACTTGCCCTTCTTATTCCCCCTTCGGCCTCAGCTTAGACAGCACTTCCCCCAGGAAGCCTTCGCTGACCTCCTTCACAAGTCCTGAATGGGGAACCCTCCTCTGAGCTCCCATAATACCCTGCAGTTCCCCTGCCCGGCCCCAGCCCCACTCAGTTGTCAACAGATGGTTATTTGTCTGTCCCACTCACCAGGCCAGGAGCTGATGGTACCCAGGGACTTTGTCTTCTTCACGCATCACAGAGCCTCGACCCCAGTGGACATTCACAAACATCTGTCAAACCTAAGGTGGAGAATCTGGGGCCCCTTCATAAACATCTCATTTAATATGTCAACCCTGCAGAATCCATATTTTCCCATGTTGCAAAGGTGGACATTCCTGCGTGGAGAAGTTAAATAATGTCCCTAAGATCACACAAACAGCCAGAAAGAAAACGACTGCAGATGCAGCCACCCTTGCCGGCACCGCCTCACCGGATTCTCAGCCTGCCCAGATGCCTAAGGCAGAAAGTGATCCTGAGGGACAGACTTCACACAGGAAAGTCTTGGGGGCTGGCTCGGGTGTCCAGAGCTGGCCCGGGTGTCCAGAGCTGGCCCTGGGGTCAGGTAACTGATTCTGCAACCATTTCCTATGACGTTCTAGTGCTGGGCTGTGTTCTCAGTGCCGGGAATGCCGCATAGAACAAACCTCACAATCTGCTCCCCCTCGTTAGCTTGATTCTCATGTTGGGAAGGAGAAAGAAAATAGCCAACGAGGCAAAACATGTTATGTCCAGCAAGGCGCCCTATGAACAGCTTTGCACTCATTCTCACAATTAAGACAGTGACAAGTCATAGATTTTTCAATGTTGCACAATGATGTGAAATAAATACCCTTATAAAATGAATTTATTTTAGGGATAAGAAACAAATTTCATTTAATAACATCCATTAAATAGTAGCTTGACACTTTTCCAAATGGCAAAATCATACAGCTAAGTGACTGGGATCTGTGCAAGGTAGCTGGGTGCTGAGAACTGTGCCCCTAGCCTGGTGCAATGCCGGGGAATAAAGAGTCAGAGTCCCAGCCGTGCAACGCCACTCAGATTAATGAAAGCATTTGTCCTGCACCCGGCACACACGTTCTCTGTTACGCCCACCCACATAACCTGCATCCTGCATCTAGGTCTACAATGGAGGGGACGCTCCTCTTAGCAGCGTCAGTACAAAGGAACAGTTAAGCCAGTAAACACCCAGCGATGCCCACTTCTGAGTGTGAGAGGGGAAAATGAACAGAGCAAGGAAACATGGCCCCTGCCTTTGGGGCCTCACAGCAGGTGGGAAAGAGACACACAGTCTGTGGGAAAGCAGCGGGAGTACAGGGGAGGGCACAGGGGAAGGCCCCAAGGAGGAGTGGCCACAGCAGCAAGAGGCAGCCAAGGAGAAAGTCTCCTGCGAGAGAAGAGCTCACGTGGACTCACCTGAGGTCACCCGCCACTGTATTCACGTCATAGATTCTACGGATCTGGGCCAGAGTGACTGCTACACCTGTCACTTACAAAATAAAATAACCTGACTGGCCTGGGTGCGTTCATCCTACGGGTGTTCCCGAGGGCCCCTCTACTCAGCGATCCCTTCAGTGAGTTATCCAACACAGCCCCGTCCCCAGGGCACATCTAGTCTGAGGAAGTACAATCTTGACCCAGGTATAGCATGAAGGGAATATACTGATACTATTAATAGATACTTGTGGACAGAGTGGGGGTAGAGGACAGGATGCTCCTCACAGCCCTGGATGAACAGAAATTTCAGCACAGGATCGGCCATGTTTGCTCATTCACACTATGTTATTTCCAGTGGAGAAACAGCAGGTATCACAACAGCTGTACACGGCGAAGGGGACAATATGGGTACGATATGGTTCTGGACAGTGTGTGGGGGGGGAAAGACACAAAAACCCTTAGGATTAACAGAAAATTAAGCCAAGATATTTGCTGTATCCACTTGTTTACAATACCGTGGTCCCTCTGTGTCTGTGGGGCATTGGCTGGGACCCCCAGGGAGGCCAAAATCCTCAGATGGTGACCTCCCTGCTATAAAATGGCATAGTATTTTAATGCAACCTACGCACTTCCTCCCATATATTTTACATCATCTCCAGATTACTTATAACACCTAGTGCAATGTAAATGCTATGTAAATAGTCATGCTGTATTTTTAAAAATTTGTATTGTTTTGTTTCTAATCTTTTGGATCTGGAGTTGGCTGAATCCTGGGAGGTGGGACTTGGGGTATGGAGGGCTGACTATATCATTTCCAATGAACCAAGTGCCGGTATAACCATGGCTACATTGCACCAAGTGGGTAACACGGGTCATCGTCACTCACAGATAAATGTGCCCCAGCCCCTGCTCAGCGCCTGGTTCCAGGATCTGTGCTTTGGTACATGTGGCTCACAGGGGACTGTTTCCTGCAGGATAACAATCCTCAGGGTGCTCACAGTCTGGGAGACAGGGAGGTGTAGTGAAGATAACGACAGAACTCGCCATGAGAGCCTGTCTCTTCCCTGGCTGGCCTGAGCCAGGGGAGGCGTGGAAAGCAGACGAGGGCCCCATAGTTCAAGTGGCTGGGAACGACTTCTCCCAGGGCCTGCTATGTTACATAATGTTATCATGCCCACTTGCAGATGAGGTAACTGAGGATCAGAGAGGTTCAGCAACTCAGTCAAGGTCACACAGCTACACAGTGCTGGGGACCATTTCTCACTTAGGTCTGTTAAAATGCAAAGTCTCTGCACTATTCAGTACACCAATCTCAATCTCTCTCTCTCTCTCTCTCTCTGTTTCCATGTTGTCACCTGTTTTAATCCACATCCACCATCATATACTTTACCTGTGGCTCTCCTTACCTTCAAATTCTTATAACCTGCTAAATACAGTATAGATTTTGTTTTAGCACATCAGGCCTTTTACTATAAAAAAAAATGTAAATTTCCCTTGCCACGCACAATTGCTCAGCCCAGAACTGAACATTTATCTTGAGTTTGATTCCACCCAAAGGTTGGATAAAGGAAATGGATCACTGCGATTCAGAGTTTTAACTTAGCTATATCACCCAATCCCAAGCACAATTTTACATGCAATCAATATCCAGCTAGAACACTAAAACCAGTGCTTCCCTATGGAAAGTATTCACAAAACATTTTATTAAATGCCAAAAAGTTCCAGGTAAGAGACGCTGTCCCTCTGACAGGCAACCGTTGAAATTCTCTTCCTAAAAATACAGAAATCCCTTCTCTTTGTCCTTTTTCTCCCTTGCTGGGACCCTGAGAGCCTCAGCCAAGCAAGTCCATTCACTATTGCTTTTTGCAAACACAAACTCACAAAAGAACCCTCAGGCACACACACATTCATTACACCCAATAGGGGTATGTTAATATAGGGAAATTGTACTGGAAATGCAAATGGCAATCTGTGACTAATCATAAAACCAACTTTTGGATGGCATAGAGGTCTGCTGTCCCGGATGGGCTGCACTCCAGCAAAGTGGACAAGCAAAGATGCCTTCCTTCTCTAAATATTCAACACTGCAGCTTGGATGGTTATTTGATTAAAATAAAAAGGTCTCCCTAATTGTACGCTAATGAAGGAGTCACAGAGCCTACTTACTGAACGCATGTCTATTCCTATGCCACATCAGGACCCATCTCTCTCACACGTCCTAGAAAGAGTTTCTCTGACTGTCTCTATACCGGACATGTAGTTTTCCTTGAAAATGCTTCAGTCATTCCGTCGTCCTATTGTGGGGTGGGTGGGAGGGAGGTGACGCCAAGGAAACAAGTTCTTCCTGAACCTGTTGAACACTGATTGCTGCCCGATTACATCCCTATGCCTGACAGTGCCCGCAGCAAGTTTCAGGATGGGCTTTCTCCGCTTAAACATGGCCATCCCCAACTAGGGAAGGAGAAATACGACACACGCAGACTGTACCACCGCCATTCTCACGCTGAGGAGAGAAGGGCGTCAGAGGACAGCAGGTGTTCGCTCAGAAAGCAGCGTTCCCCGCTGGCCAAACAGAAGGATTCTAGTCCCAAGACACTAACGCACACCTGTCCAGTTCTAGGGAGACTCTGTCTCTCGCTGTCTCTCTCCGAGTCTCCCACCCCCCTTCTCCATCCGTCTCTCTCTCGCTCACGCTCTCCCCCTGACTCCCGGGCTCATTCTCTCTCTGTCTCCCTCTCTCGGGCTCTCTCACACGCGTTCTTGCTCCGGAGCCGGTTCCCGCCGTCCAGACGCCAGCGCGCTGCCTTCTTTCCTCTGCCCTGGGACGTGGCGTAGCCCGCTCGGAACTGAAGGGTTAAGACCACGGAGAGGAGCCCTCCCACGGCCGGCTAGAAAGGCTACACCGGGGAAGGCGGTGCGTGCCCGGGGTGGGGGCGGGGGCTGGTGGGTGGTGGTGGTGGTGGTGGTGGCTGTTTGACGTCACAGGGATGGGACGCCTGAGAGAAACTTGACCTTCGATTGGTTGCCGGGGGCCGCAGTGCACGCCGGGAGGGAAAGGAAATCAGGTTTCTCTCCTGGGGCGGCCAGGTGAGTTGTGGCTACCGCGCTGCCCTGCTCTGCTCCGCTGAGACGTGGTGTCAGGGCCGGCCCTCCCGGCAGTGCCCTGGGGCGTCCTAGGAGCGGTCCTCCCGTCCTGGACGCGACGAATGCTTCCGGAAGCCGTGGGAAGAAATTCCGGGCAGCAGAGGTAACTTCACAGGGGAGGCGCGTAGGAGCTGGCTGGAGGGATTGGAGGAGGCCGACTTCTCTGGTGATTGGCTGGGAGTTCTTGTGTACAGCGTACAGGTGAGAAGTGGCACCAGCTCTTTGAATTAGTTTATTTACTAACTGTTTGTGCGTCGGCGATAATTGTGTGTAGATGGAGGGTTTGTCTGGCTTACACTCGAAAGGAAAGACAGAAAGCAAACAAGTCAGGAAATTGGATTTGTTCAGCTTACTGCCCTAGGGAGAGCGCACCTGTCTGGAGATCAGAGTGTCTGGGCGGGAAGCTTTTGCCTTTACTTTTATAGGGAGGCGTAACCAAGTGTTAATGGGGTGGTTTATGGAGGAGGGTGTTTTCGTGAGACAAAGAACAAGGACTGGGAGTGTCTGTCATCCTCGAGTCTGGTGGGAGTCCTGGCCCAGAGTGGCCACACAGCAACCCTTATCTAAGTCACATGAATAGAGTGGTCCTTTGTGGGCAGCCCTTTTCCAGAACAGGAAAGCATGCAGAGAGTTACTTGTTGTGGCTTATTTCAGGAATCAGGTGAAGTGCCCCATTGTCAACAGGTCAAAATAAGCAAGGCATCTTTCCTGACTGTCCAAGCAGTTGCACAAATTAGCAGAGAGATGCTCCCCCCCTCCCCCCGGAAGTATCCGACCTGTGAACACCATTTTATAATTTTTGAAACTTAATATTTTTGTGATCTAAATGAAGGCAGCAAAAATGCATAACTATCCCAGAATATTATCATCATCTTCATTTTACAAGTGAGGTAACTGAGTCAGAGAGAGGGTAAGTAACCTGCCCAAAGTCACACCAGGAATAAATGGTGGAGGCTTGATTTAAATCCAGGTGTCTGCAGCTTCAGCACCTCTCTGCTATGCAGCCATCACCTATCATTTCCAAACTCACATATCCGGCTAAGTCCTCTCTCTGAAACTACAGACGTGCTGAGCCAACTGACACCCCAAAGGCAGATTGCACTCAAAGGGTCCCTGGGCAGCAGAGGTGACTTCACAGAAAGGAGTGTTAGAGATCCAGGGTCCCAAAGGCCCTAGCCCACCCTCTGGAGGGAGAGAGGGGCTACAAGAGGAAGATTAGCACATTTGAGGGGTTGGAGGTATCTCTGAGAGACGGGCTGATGGACTATTACACTGCACACATGTGATAATACACTTATTACTTTGAATTTATTTATTTTTCTATTTTTTTTTTTTTTAGCATTGGCAGTACCTGTCCAATGGTTACAATACCCGAAACAGGTATGTAAAATCAAGCTGATACATGGATAGAGGTTCCCATTTTACCTGGGAGGACCTGACAAGAAAACGCCAGTCTGCTATGTAAAAAGACACATTCTCCTATACCAAAAGGATGCAGCAAATTAGTCATTATTCCTAATTATTATTATCATTCTCCTATTACAGGTGAGGCTTCATAGGCACAGAGAGGTTAGGTCAGCTCCCGAGAGTCACTCAGGTTTCAAGTGCTTGAGTCCCAGAGCACCTAATACTCGATATGTCCCAAGCTGAACCCATCCACCCCCACTCTCTGGACACCTGCCCCTCCTCAGTGGTGCCTAACACAGTGAAAAGCAGCACCTTCTGCCCAGCAGCTTAGGCCGGGGATCTTTAAAGCCATCCCGATTGCTGCCTTTCTCTCACCACCCCCACAGTGGCTAAGTCTGGCCACTTTGACCTCCCACGTCTAAGTAAGGTCTTTACACTTCTCTCCATTACAACAGGAAGTTCCCTAGTCCAGTCACACTCATCTCTCTCCTTGTCGACCACCAGGGTCATCATAGCTAGTCTTCCCACTGCCAGCCTTGTCCCCTTGTCCCCCAAGCATCCTCTGTCCCAGTGCCTGATGGACCTTTCATAACTCCTTGTGGTGTCGTATTACCCCTGCTCAAACTCTGCAGGGGCTGCTTGTTGCTCTTAGGATAATGTCCAACCTCCCAGACTAGGCACATCTGGCCCAGCCTACCTCAAAACACCTCAGCTGTAGCAGACACCTGCTGCTGCACCCCACACTTAATGTTCCAGACATCTAAACCTTTGTGTTCATCGGATGCCCACCCATGCCCTCTCTGTCCCTCCCTCTCTCTCTGCTGTCTACAGCCTTACACCTGCTGTCCCTTCTGTCTGGCCTGCACTTCCTCCCTCCTCCTCTGCCTGATTCCTGCTTACCTTCAGCCCTAAGGTTAAGGAGAGCCATTTCTATTTTACCTTGGGAGTATCTGGATAAAAAGGCACACTTACTGGTTCAATATTTTTACTGATGGGCATGTGTTGGAGATCCTTTTAAATCCCCAAATGGACCAGTGAATGGGAAATACAGTCTGGGGGCAGGGTTTTCTGGGGCCCTGACATGCTTGCCTCCTCACTGAGGTGTCCCTAACACATGGCACAATGTGAATGGGACTTCCTGGAGCCTGGCTAGCGAGGACTTAGTGTGTGCTGCGCATGTCTGAGTTTTATTTCCCAAAGACCTAGAGAAGTAAGTGTCAAATCCTCCATCTACAAACAAGGACCCAAACTGAAAAAGGTTAGGTCGCCGATGCTGAAAAGGCTGCATCTGGGAATCACACATCTGGTTCTGTGTGACTCCAAAGCCAGGCCTCTGTCCACTCCACTCACACACTTTCCACGACAGACTTTGCTTGAGTCCCCCTTGACGGGATGCAGATACTGTCCTGTGATGGGATAGCGTCTTTCCAACACCGTGTCCCTGTGAAATGCAGGACAAAGACACCTTGAAAGGCCCTAAGATGCTGCATGTCTTCCATCTGAGGAGCTCTCCTGGAGTCCCGTGGTGTGAAAGGCTTGCCCGGGAGCTAACAGCTGAGCAGGACTTTGACTTCTAGGGCTCCTCTAGGGGAGGCACTTTGCCATATGAGAGCGACTTTTGCAGTCTACCCCCACCCCCAAATTATGTCTCCATTGGCCTCACTCTGTTTAACAGATAAGAATATGGAGGGAAACAGCCAGAGGGAGTGTTTTTAGTGGCTGCCACACAGCTCTGGAGTTGATCAGACTGAAAGGTGGTTTGGAGCCCCAAAGACCAACCAGGAGTGGAAACCTGCTCCTGCTGTGTTGAGCTCTCTGTTCTCAGCGCTCTCTCGTGTAAAGTGTGGATAACCAAAGGGTCTACCGCACAAACCTCTCCTGACCAGAGAAGTCTGTCCTGACAGGAGCCTCTCACGCACACACCCCTTGGGCGAGGAGGAAGGGGTGTCCTGAGGGCACCATGAGTTCTGCCATTGCTCGCCTCACCCCACCTCAGCTCACCTGCTCAGAGGGGATAGTGCAGTGCATCCCTGCATCCACCACCTGTGTCCAGTACGTAGAGACCTCCTGTCCATTTGGCTCTTAGGACATGTTCATTCAGTGAATGAAGGACCTTGGTCCAGGGTGCTGGTCAGTAATGGGCAGCTGTGACCGTAGCAGTTCTTTCAGCACTAGAAATGGTACAGGAGAACTGAGTGAGCAGAGGACATCTCTACAGTCACATTCTCTTCCGTTTGGGTTGAGGGAAGAGGATAGTATCTTTTATCCCATCCCTAATTCCAGAACTCCTAATAAAAGAGGCTACTAAATTCTTTAGACACGTGTTGACTGATCTGTTCCACTGTGAGTCTCAGGTCTAGCCTCCCAGTGGGACCGCACTGGTCAGTCCCCAGAAGTTTCCCATGTCCCTGTGGCCAGTGCACATAGTTGCACTGTTCATTTGGAGAATGGTTGAGTGAACTCAGGCCTGCTAATTGAATATGTGGTCCTGTGGCTACAGCCCAGATGTCCGCGGCGACCAAGACATGAGGACAGGATGAAGACATGAGTCAAGTTCAGGTAACCTCTGTCCACCTCACCTGGTTGTCTTGGCTGTTTGCCCAAACCATCCTGTCTTAGACTGGTCTTCCCCTGTGTCCCTGCTTTGCCTGAACTTAGCTGGTCCACACAGATGTGCCCTCAGTATCTATGTCCCTTGGTTGTCCTTCCTGGTCTAGCTGACTGACCAGAAGCTTACTTGGCCCAGCAGGATCCTGTCCCTGTTACCTCCTGTCCCTGTTCAGCCCTTACCCCTGCTCTCAACTGCACTGACATCCTTGTAGCATCTTTGCTGTGCTGGGCATGCTCTGCCTCTGACACTTTCCCCCACCTGTTCTCTCTGGAAAGCCCTGACTCCACAAACCTGCTTGGCTGACTCTTCTACCCATTCACGTCTTTGTCAAAATGTCACCTTCTCAATGCAGCCTACCCAGGTCACTCTGTTTAATAGTTTAAGCCGCAGCTAACCCAGTTCATCCGCACATTCCTGAGCTTATTACCATGATCTAAATACTTTTTCTTTTTTTCACAGCCCCCATCACCTCCTAACATACTGTCCAGTTGATTAAATTACCACATGGAGCGTTTACTGTGTGCCGCCTACGACTTCTCCTTCGGGCGATGTGAGATCCAGGGCAGGGCTTTCTGTTGATTTGGTTCACTGATGTATGTATTATCCGAAATCCTCGGGCAGTGCCTGGCACATAGAAGACCCTCACTAAGGATTTGTTGCTTGAAGAAACGAGTCTGCTTCCCCCACTAGGCTATGGGACCCTTGTGGGTCTGCTTCTCCCCCATGTGACGGAGCCCTGTGTGCGTGTGACCATGTGACTATGACCAAAAACAAGGCTCAGGCAGGAAGGAGAGTTTCTGAAGAACAAACATGTCAGCGAGAAGGAGGTTTTCCCACCCTGGGGAGACAGGGGTGCTCTTGCATGACAGCCTTGGTGCAGAGGCGTTGATCCTTTGCAGGCTTGGGGATGCATGAAAATGAAGAGAGGGGTTGCTTTACATCAGACCGAGAATATGTTAGAAAGTGGCCCTTAGTAGGGCAGACAGAGCTTCCTGCTCTGTTGAAATCAGATTGAAACGGCAGCCCCAGTGGTTGCAGAGAAACTCACCTCCACCTGCCATGTGATCCCAACGTGTGCACTTTATGCAAGAGCAAGGGAAGTTATAAACCCTTTTGGATTGTCCCAGGGTGTGTGTTTCCAGAAAAGGAGCAATGATTTTTCTCACTCTGAATCCTTGCCTTGTGGTGCAGAGTGTATCACACAGATCCTCACAAGATAATAGAAGTCATCTGTGTGTTTGTTGGAGATGGAGGTAACATTCTGTGGTAGTTTACTCTTTCCTCAGCCCAACTCAGATTTCTACTGAATGTTCTGGACACGTTGCTCCTACATTCCAGCTGAGCCAGTCTCGGGCACGTACGTTCTTCCTGGCTGGAGATGGCGTTCACCTGCATCCCTTGCCACCTCTCTCACCTCCAGCCCTGAATTCTGCTTTCACAGGATGTGTGTGACTGGGGGAAGGGGCTGCAATACAGTTTTTTAGAATTTTGTCAGGTTAGGGTTTGGAAAGGTGATCCAAAGAGCTAGAATCTCCTACTATCCCAGCAGGGTGGAGGGCATCCAGGCTTTGAAGTGTGTGTTCTGTAGAGCTGCAACATGGAAGTTGTGTCCAGGTTATTTTTGGACTGTCAGTGAGTTCTGGCGGGACACTAAGCACACAATGGGGGACAAGATGTGTGGGTGCTGACTGTCCCCAAGAGAGGGGGTTCCTGCTCTGTGTCTTTTGTCAGAGACACAGAATAAACTCTTCCCCACGATGAGATTTCTACAGGTGGGGCCGAGGGAAACCCTGTGACTTTCAAAGCAGTGGCATGATTCCTTCCCCAGGGGAGAGTCAGAGGGAAGCCGGCCACCTAAACTCAAGGGACTAGACAAGGAAGCTGGGATGTGGGGAGCTGGAGTGGACACGTTCTCAGTCAATTCTGAACAACTTCCCATGGTGTGGTGTTTCTGGACAGTTGTCAGAATGAAACTTCAGAAGGAGGTCAGAGATAACCTCTGTCTGGACTTTGCTATGTGACGATGTTTCTTATCTTTTTTTTTTTTTTTTTTTTGAGACAAAAGTCTCCCTCTGTTGTCGGGCTAGAGTGCCATGGCGTTAGCCTAGCTCACAGCAATGTGGTACTCCTGGGCTCAAGCGATCCTCCTGCCTCAGTCTCCCGAGTAGCTGGCCTGGAGCCTGGGCTAGCGAGGACTTACTGTGTTGCTTATCTGTGTGCCTTATTTCCCTTGGACACACTTATCTGAGGAAATGCAGTCAGTTGTGGTCTACATTTTAAACCAAATATAGAACAACGAATATGCTTAGAAAATCCAAGATGGAGAAAAATTTGAGATTTGAAAAAGATTTGAAAAACCCGAGGGGGGCGGAAGAAAAATATTGAAAAAGAAGAAAAAATATTGAAAAAGAATATATTCTTAATGGCAAGCATGGAGAAGCCAAAAAAAAAAAAAAAAAGAATATATCTTTAAGGAAAACCTAAGAAGCAGTGTCTTAAATATTGGGAAGGGCATGTCAAAGATGTTGTTCTGGTAACCGATAGGGTACAAGGTAACTAGAAGTTATAGCAAAGATTTCGCTCATAATATTGTAAGGAAAACTTTTTTTTTTTTTTTTTTTTTTTAAGAGATGGGGGTCATCTAGGCTATCTTACTCCTTGGCCTCAAAGTATCCTTCCCACCTCAGCCTCCAAAAGTGCTGAGATTAATGTGCAAGCCACCACACCCTGAGAAAGAACTTTCTAATTTCTAGAGCTGTCCAAAGATAGATGCGCTTCTTGGGCAATGGAGTTTATAAAGGTCTCAAGAAATGGTTTCTTAGTTAACAATACAAGGCTTTAAAGTTCTCTTAAGATTTTGAGGACCTCCAGTTCATCTTGAAAATGTCGCACTTTTATTCTCTGAACCACATGTAGGACAATACAAATGCATTTTTTTTGTTTTTGTTTTGGAGACAGATCTCACTCTGTCACCCCAGCTAGAGCACGGAGTTGCGTCATCACAGCTCACTACAATCTCTAACTTCGGGCTCAAGCGATCCCCCTCCTGTCTCAGTCTCCCAAAGCAGCTGGGACTTACAAGCCGCGCCACCATGCCTGTTAATTTTCCTATTTTTAGTAGAGATAGGGTCTCACTCTTGCTCAGGCTGGTCTCTCAACTCTGGGTCAAAGCGATCCTCCTGTCTCAGTCTCCCAAGCAGCTGACCTACAAGCCACCACCATGCCTGGTTAATTTTTTCCTATTTTAGTAGAGATAGGTTCACTCTTGCTCAGCTGTCTCTAACTCCTGGCTCAAGCAAGCATCACGCCTCACCTTCCAGAGTGCTAGAATTGCAGGCATGAGATCATAATCTGTTTTTCCAGAATTTTAAAGTTTGTTGACTAGAGCTCAGGGTGCATTTGTATTTTTAATTGTAAAACATTAAAGCTATGTTGTTAACATCTCTGGAAATCATGATGCATCTTATGATTGCTGCCTTGCATATTTTCTTTCTATATTAAACTTGAACATTAGAAGCACACTGCATCAAGATGTTATAGGAATGGTGCAAGCAGGCTTGGATAGAAATTCTAGACGACAGCATGAAACAACTGTGGTTGTGGGAAGCTGGGCTGGGTGAATCACACATGTAGCAACCATTTCCTGAAGTCAGAAGTGAAAATAACTAGCTCCATGTAATTGTTAAACCGAGTTTAAAATCTAGCAACAGATGGTGTTAACTTTGTTTTTTAATGACCTCTTTTAAAATGCTGCATTGTCAGTGTCTTCAAGAAGGGTTTATGATACAGGGAGAAGAGACATGGACTTCAATAAATCTGAGTAAGAAAATGATCAGAAAAGTCAATCTGGAATGCCAAAAAACGTTATACCTTACCTAGATTTATCATTATGCTTTCTGCTTAAACATATTAAAAATGAATCCTATGATTTAAAGTCTGTTTTATAATAAACCTAAAAGATGTGGTGCTTACTGGCCATTTTTTTTCTTAGAGCTTCTTTACTGGTGCATGCCTTACAATATCATTTTATATCAGTGAGTTATAGTCATAATAACAATTTATTGCTTCTTATGTATTGTGAATTACTTGCATCATCTCATTACTCCTTCTAACAATTTGGTAGGGCAGAATGCTATTATTATTCTACAGATGAGGAACAAATCGAGACAGTGTATCTTAGATCAAGGCTACACAGCTTATAAGTAGCAAAAGTGAATTCAAAGTCAATTCTATGGACTCCTGAGCCAGGATTTTTAACCTCTATACCAACTCTGAACCTCTAGGTCCGAAGTAATTAGCTGTATACTGGCTTAACACAGTACACAGGGGCATATTACTGTTAAGAGATGATGAAATGTCGGTCTATCACATGCTGGATTGACATTGGTCCTTTGAGCTGAAGACTGACGGTATTGTATGTATTGTACTATCTTTAGCCTCAATGTTAGCTGTATCGGGGATGTGCATTTATAGTGGAACTGGGGAACCAAACTGAAACCAAATCGGTGGTACTATTACCTCTTGAAATGTGCGAGGAACTAGAATGATCTGGCTTGGAATAAGAGCTCTAATGGGCAAAAGTAAATAGGGGGTTAATAAAGATTAGAGGCAGGACTGTATTTCTCTGATGTAACTGCAGACCAGTAGCAAGGAATCAGAAGACATTGATGGGTTAGCATTATAAATAGGCAAACTGGTCTGGAGGAACTGTACTACGGCTGGCACAGAGGATAGTAAAGCTATCGGATCCAACTAGAGGTACTCAACAATGGATGAAAAATCAAGAGGTTTGGAGGGTTAATTAAATAGAATATGATGATGTCCTGCTCTGACCAAGGTAGTTAAAGACAAGTTTCACATGCATAATTAGTGGAAGTACAACGAATTCTTGGTACAATCTCTTCCAGGATAATTTTGGCACTTCTTTTAGAATAAAAGAGACATACGTTGATCTAGCAGATTCTATTGCTAGGAGTTTATCCTACAAGGTTTAGCTGTGATATGGCTTTAAAGGATATAGTGTAAAGTTTATTCATTGCAACATAATTCAAAGTGCAAAAGTTTAGGAGACAAACTAATAGGTTCATGAATAGGACTGGCAGATGTCATCTCTCCAGCAGTGATTTTCTGGACTCCACCACTAGTTAATGTCCTCCTCTGTGCTGCAGAGCACCTTTAGCATCCTTGTTTTAAAACCTCTAATAATGAAAGGGATCTATTTGTTCTCCCCCATTAGAAGTAATTAGGTGATTATTATTCCTCATTTTGCAGATGAGGAGAAGCTTGGGTTCAGAAGCCTGTGTAGCCCTCCAATAGAAGTTGAGGCAAAAAGCATCTCCAAAGCCACAAGAGTATAAAAAGAGGGGTATGGGAAGGCAGGTGTCAGTGTAGTTCTAATACAGATGAGGGCCCTTATGCTTTTGCTAGGATTAGACTTTACCAGAGGTTTGATTTAACTAATACTCAACATGTTGCAAGCTGAACCCATCCACCCCCACTCTCTGGACACCTGCCC